TCTTGAATAGTCTTTTTCATGTTGGCTTAAAAATGTGGAATTAAAGATGAATAATTAAAAATATATTTTAGTCCTTTAAAAAATGATGGGGTGCAAGCACCCGGTGAGTAAAATCCACCAAAAGTGATCGTTTTTGCTCCCTAAAACGGCCTGTTCTGAGTCACAACCTGAAGGGGAAACAAGACTGTGGAAGTTCTTATGTAAAGTGCAATGAATTTCCCTCTTGTGGCTTATTACAAATCCAAATCTTGGCTCTTCAACTAGTTACAATCTATGAATGGCGTCCAACAATAGGAAACACTGCTGATTCATCATTAGGACTTAGTGTTGGCGTAAACTGGCTGTGGTGAATTCGTTGATCTGAGCATTTGAGGCCGAAGCGTGCAAGAGCTCTTTGGCCTTGTGTTGTGCTGTTGCTGCTCGTTGAATTCACGGCTCGACTGTGACAGAATTGGTGGTGAAATATATTTTCAGAGGTTACATTGGCAGCCTTATGTATGTTGGTATCTATGCCCTTGGGTTGAATTACTTTGGACAACCTAGCTAATATATTGGCTTATTAGTCGCGGAACGAGTGATAGTTAATGCGGGGTGTACGCGTGTAATATATATATACCCAAGGTTTGGTCGATGTGACTCCATAATGAAACGGCCCCAAATCAAAGCACCTCTCTTAAGTGTTGAGCATCCCCATAAGCACCGCAACAGAAAAACTCTTGGACCGCCACTTGGGGTGAGTCTATGCCATTCAGGCTGAAAAGGGCCCACCAGATTTGACTATCTTTTTTTTTCATTGCTATTTTTTTTTTTAACAATATTGTAATTATAGCTCTTTTTATAATCAGGCCTGGTTCTATGGAGGGTGGCAAAACATGGCGTCAACACTGAGTTGTTTTTTTTTTTTTTTTTTTTATAATTTGCACCCTTAATGGAAGGGAAGGTGGTCTTATTTAGGCGCACAGACTGTATAAGGCATCTCCAGTGCACCTTCTATCTTTGGTCTATGTATGTTCAGCCAGTGCAAACGCAAGGGCCTGGGTGACGGTGAATATAGATCACAGGTGCGCGATTATTAAATACTGCTATCAAAATAAAGACATTGAATTTGGTGACGCTCTTTTGTAATAAATTCTAAATGTAATTCTCACCTCGTACATTGGTTCACACATCGAAGATTCAATGTTACACAACAGTGTTTGGCCTCTGCAAATGTGGTTTCACGGATAAATACATGAGACGCTACGTTTACAAAAAGAAAGTAGGATAAGCCCCTGCGTTAACTGGGATGTCTCCTTCATAAAAAAGCAGAATATCGATTCATACTTAACCAGTCTGATGTATGTCAGAGGCTGCCCGCTCTTTCCACATTCATTCATAGATCAGTGACTTGACTTACTGACTTTTCCGGCTTTAACCGCCTTCCTAATGGCATTGCTGTTTGAACATACAGCTACAGTACAGTAACAGCGTGAATATTGGCCCGTATTTGCCAGGGTGTTAATTATCTCTTCAATAGTTCGGACTGCTTCTTACAGAGTCCGTGCAGGCTCAATCAGTCCCACACTTCTTACAGTAATATCAGGCCGGTATTCGAAAACACAAGTTTGTGTGCCTTGATCACCTGACATTTCATTTAATATATTCATTCAATAATTTCCTAAAGGGCATGCCATAATACACACACATACACACACACACACACATACATACTGTATATACACACATACATATATAAATAAAAACATGTTGTCAGAAGCAAGAGAGTTCATGCTGTCCTTCCCCTGTTCCACACCCAATCAAACGCAACTGTTTTGACTTTTGAATTTTGAGTGACAGCCAAAACAAGCAACTCAGGCATTTTGTACAAATGTTCCATGAAATATCCCCAATAAATACACCATTTCCTCCTGTCTGTGTGTGTGTGTGTGTGTGTGTGTGTGTGTGTGAGAGAGAGAGAATCTGCTGTCTTCTTACACATTTGCTTACACATTTTAATGGTATATAAAGAACAGTTGAAGTTGATCTGAAACATTTGGAAATATTAAAATAAAAAAAGAATAGAATAATAATAATAATAATTTTGTGGGCCAGATTATATTTTATTAAATCATGTCGTGGGCTAGATGAAGGTGGTTTGAGGGCCAGAATTTTATATTCAAGTTATTTTAAACATATTTATGTTAAAGTAATAACATCATAATATTTAATTATATATTATTTTGTTAGTTTTTATTATATGTGGCTTACAGTTTTTATCATTATTTATATATGTTTTTGAACAGTAGTAATTATGTGGAAACATTTTCAGAAAGAGTAATTCAAGTGTACACACGATATAATTCCCCACTTGCTGCAATTTGATCTCATGTTCATGGCTGTATTAGGGATAAATGTGGTCCAAAATAAAGCTAACAAAATTGGGCTAAATCTGGACAAAATCAGACCAAAAAAAGCCCAATTTTCAAAGTCTATTAGCTTAATAAAGGCCATAACGGAAAGACCAGATATAGCCACAAAAAAGACGTCCATATAGCGTTGGTGCTCGGTGGGAAGGCATTGTGGGAATGCCGGCCACCATTCAGTTTTATTTGATTTGACTGTAAATGCTGAATGTGCAAAATGAATTTTACTTGGACATTTTGTTTGTTTCATAGAAAAACAAATATTAGTGGTCACATTTATTTAGCATAAGCTGCAATATTTTCAGTGTTTGATTTTTAAGTATTCAGATTAGATTACATCATGTTACAGATAAAAGATTGACATGTCATTTGTATTCAGTAACTGACTCATTGCAAAGCAATGACACTAGATATAGCACACAAATCAATACATTTCATCTATAGCTAAATGTTATTATGATTATTATTATCATTATATGTTATTTGATTCTATTGGATTTTATTCTTTCTTCCTTGCACTTTGCACTACATTTCTGTTGTGCCAATTTGAATTTCCCCTGCAGGGGATCAACATTTTTTATTTACTTTATCATACTGGTGACACTGGCATATTTATATTCACAACTTGTTTGTTTTGTTTGTTTATTCAGGGGTTCCCCAAGTTCGTCATGTCAAGGACCCCCACAGTAGATACAGACCCCCAGTATGTACGTTCTTTATTCTGAGGTTTGAAGAAAAGAAAGTCTTCATAGTCAATCAATGATCAAATCACTATTAGTCACAATCAATCCAAACATCCAACCCTATTTCCCCCCTTGTTGTTCCAACTTCTAAAATATGTAATAAAAAGTTAAAATATTCTTCCGTTACTTATATCGTAAATTAAATTTTATTCAGACATTTGTTTTTTTCTACCTGTTAATCGAAACAGCGGCAACAAAGGAAACAGTTTCACACTTTTATTCTGAAATAAACTACCACCATATGTCGTGGTATTGTATTCTAGTGATGGGTCGGTACAGTACCTCAAATATATGAAAATATGCCACTTGGAGATACAAATATGGAATTTTATTGTTGAATTTCTCCACATTGGTGCAGTAAAAATACTTAATATGAAGTATACTTATACTTAGATGTGTAAAAGTCAAATATAAGAAAATATGGAATCTGGAGGTATAAATATGGGACTTTTATTGTTGAATTTCTCCACATTGGTGCAGTAAAAATGCTTGATATTAAGTATACTTGTAGTCTTATATGTATAAAAGTCAAATATACATCAGTTGTCAGGAAATATTGAGCATTGTGTTTTTACAGCACATCAAATATGGTAAAATATGCAATCTGGAGGCATAAATATGGGACTTTTAAATGTAGGTTCGAATTATAG